AAAAAAAAAAAAAAAAAAAAAAAAAAAAAAAAAAAAAAAAAAAAAAAAAAAAAAGGAAGTATCTGCTATTCCAGTCTGAGAGCAGGGGCAGCTTCACAGCCTGACTGCAGGCTCCAGGGGCACAGGGAGCCAGGGAACCCACCCTGCTCGAAAAGCTGTGACATCCCAATGTGGGCACGGGGCCAGCTCCTCCAGGAAAGCTGCAGSACAAGCCTTCACCCTCCCAGCTGGCAGATGACAAAAGGTTCAGAAGAAGCTGCGGGGCTCGCCCTGGCCCTCTGGCACAGACGGGCAGGTCCGGATGATGCTGCCAGGGGCTTCCCAGCACTCTGTGTCAGCAGGAACAGCGATGCCACCAGGTTTCCTGTCCCACTCCCAAGGTCCTTTGGGTGCTCAACCTTCTGCCTGCAAGCAGAGATTTCAGCAAAACACAGCTCCAACCCCATTTTATGGCTGCCTTTATCTGATGCACGATACTTGGTCTTGGTCAGGCCACTCAGTAACTCCCCCTTGTTTTCCCCACATTCTGATTTTCCTACKGAACTTTCCAGTCAAAGGGCATTTACTGACCAGTGTCTGAAAACAAAACCCATCTTGTTCTCTGTCTCAGCAACATATAATGTCAAGGGTGATGGAGAAAGGGCATGGAATGGAGCAGCCCAGAGGGCACCAGGGGGCTGGAAGCACTGCATGCCCGGCTCCCTGCCCTCCCTCCACACCCACGCCTGGCTGCAGGAACCTGCTCTGACAAAACAAAGTTAACACCAAATTTCAAGTGTCTTCACCAAGGACATACAACAAACAAGTTTGTTATTTCAAATATATTTCAGAGAAACACACTTCAAAATAAATCTCCTTGTGTTGATTTGCAAACTGTATTTTGTTGAAGGCAGTGTACAGAACRGATGCTGCTTGGAGAACATCCTCTGCCCAAGGGAAAAGACACCAATGCACAGCCATGACAAACAGCAGTGGCTGGATGTGCACAAAAACCAACACAACCTGGTAAAACCCCTCATCACTGCCCCAGGACACAGCTCCCTGGGCAGGACCAGGTCACCCCACAATCCAGGAGGCAGAGCCAGGAGCAGGGATCCACTCACACCGAGGAGGGAATGCCAGAGGTGCTTCCAGCAATGACTAACAACTGGGCAACAGGATCCAAAAGGTCACTTGGGAGACAGGAGAGAGATCCAAGAACCAAATCACTGTGCACTCATTTTGGGCCAAACTAAAAACAGACTCAATAGCACATTGCTGGGGCTGCTGTCCTTACTGTACAAAAAGCAAACTCAGTTTTTCCTATCAAGAGAAACGCCACTCTCATGGACATCTCTGGGCACAGCCGATGTGAGTTCTGCCCTTGGAGAAGCCACCAAATTGACCCAAGAATGTGATCTCCAGAAGGAGCCCCCTGATGCTGAACAGCATCACACCTCACCATCTGTTCCTGCCTTGCAGAGCTCTAAACATTTAAGTTTGCCTATGAGACACAAAATCCTTTCAAATCTGCATTTATGATGATTTGAAGGCCTGACAAAACCATTGCAATACTCTTGCTTAGCCCCAGCCACCTCACCCACAAACCACTGCAAGGCTGTGGATCACCACCAGCAACATCTTCAGTAGAGAATCCACCACGCTCTGAACACACCATGATGTCTCACCATTAAAAACATCCACACCTTGGTAGGAACAGCTGGGAAAACACAGCCTGAAGCCACAGATCCTCAACACAGCATCTTCCAGATCACCCTGAGGTCATGGACACACATTYCTGCACCTCAGGGAAACCCAGCAGACAGACCATCCCTAACCCCAGCARGGCACAAACCGGCACTGCTGTGAGACCACTGCGACACAAACCCTGCCCTGAGCAGGAATCACCACTTAGGACAGGAGATGCACTTTCACAGAGATACTCAAAGGGCCAATCTCAGCCAAAAAAAACCAAATGCCAGTTGATACCAGTGCCTAAAATGAGGCACAAAGGTGGGAATTCAGCTCACTGATTCACACAGGAGAAACCTTGAGGAAGGGAACCCTTGTCCTGCCCTGGGCACAGCTCCTGTTGGGAGTAGAAAATCACCCAATTTCCCTAAAACTGCTCCAGATGGAAACAAAACAACTGCCCTCTTTGGCTATGGRCAATTCCACCTGTGGGAAGGGGTTYTGCYTKCTTTCCTCATTTTCTTTCTTYCTGAAAATGAAGCCACATCATCTGTACACCACAGGCTGAGCTCAGAAGATCTGCTTCAGCCAGGCAGCTCGGACATCCCTGCCTGAGSAACCCCAGGGAACCACAGAGGCTTTGCTCCATTTATGGCAGCRCTGCTTCCCCGCTGCCCAGGCGTCCAGTGTGAACTACATGGTTTTCCAAGAAAAGTACAAACAGTAAATGATAGCTCTTTGTAGCAGGAAATGCCTCTTTAGTCTGAAGTGGAAAACCATATCCACTTATTTAAACCTATTACAGGCAATATTAGTCATTTGTGAACCTTATAAGGAGAGCTCATTTTGCCTGGGTAATTTGTGATTTTGCTACAGAATTAATTCCACTAGAAATCAAAAAAACCCCAAGAAAACCAGACCAGCCAAAGGAAAAACCCCATRTGCAAACAAAAGACCACAACACACACACACAAAAAAACCCCAACTAAAAAAAATCCCCCCAAAACCCCCAATACCAAACTCATGCCTTAATTTTACTTCGAAATACCCTAAAAAGTCAATTTGGCAGGGCCTTCAAATACATATTCATTGAACAGATGCTCAGGGAAATGACAGGTGGATGTCAATGAAGTGGGAGGGTTTGTCCAGAGGAGATTTTGGTCCCCATGCTGCTCATGCTTCAGTTGACACAACCTCAAAGATTCAACCCAGGCCACAGCCTGGATGAGCCTTACAAGGCATAAATGATAATCCACATGTATAAATGAACAGAACCCACTTTTCCCATCAGTTTCCATCAAAAACCATTTTGTTTTACTGGTTCTAAAAACACATTACCCTGACAATGGGGATGCTCCAACATCCAAGAGAGAGCACATCTGCTCCAGGGCCAGCCACAAACCTTCTGAACAAAAGTGACACAGGAGCACATSAGAGAGAACCAACCTGTTCACGGAGAGCAGCAGCTGGTCCACACATGCTTTGATCTTGTTTTGTGCTTCTAGATGGGTCATGCTGTCCGTGTTCTCTCCGTTAATTGCCAGAATAACATCTCCTGGGCACAGGTCTGCCATGGCTGCTTTGCTGCCTGGGTTAATCTGGGAAAAATAAAAGGGTTACTTAAAAGAATGCTGGGTTTTTTTTAAAAAAGGAGTCCAGTTTCAGCCAACCCCACCCACTGGGTGACCATGTCCTCCCCTCACATTTATCTCTTGCTTGACATAAATGTAATACTCTCTTTCCAGAGAGATGCTTCACACTCCTTTGGCTTGCAGGCTTCACMGGATGCTGCAAGAGTCAATCCCTAAGGAGCACATGAACCTCTCCTCTCCGGTGAACCACCCATGGAGAAGTGCAGTGCCATCCCCTGACTGCTGCCTCAGGAGAGATTTGACATCACTTTTTCCATATTGTCATGTTAATGACTTGCCTCTTTCTAGCCCTGCATGGTCACCATCCTCAGAGGGATTTAGCAGATGTGGCACTTGGGGACATGGTTTAGTGGTAGCCTTGGCAGTGCTGGGGTAACAGCTGAAGTCGAGGATCTTTAAGATCATTTCCATCCTAAATGATTCCATGAGTCTATTCTATAAATATCACACAGCTTGTTAAGCCTCCACAATTCTTTCCTTCTGGTTTTGTAGGAGTGCCAGAACCTTATAAAACTTCTAAGTTCTTTCCTGAGGAGCTAATGACAGGCCCAGGTACTGTTTGTGGTCAGCCATAAGACCAATCCTGTAGCCCATAAAAGAGGTTCCTGAGAAATYACCATTTCGTTTACATCATCCTAAATGTGGTTTTAATTTTTACAATAACATAAAATGACGCAAGGCATAGTCAGAACAGGTAAACATGTCTGGTTAAACTCTTAATAGCTGTGTTTGCCCTCTAATTTCCTCTCGAGTTTATTCAGAGCATCTGCTAACCAAACATGTTTTATTAACTGGGAAGTTAYGGCGAGCCTGACTTTTGGTTATTCGTGTGTCACTGCACTAAAGAGAGCCGGTGCTTTGGTTCTTTTTACTCTTCATTGACACAGATAGAACTCCCTGTCTCAGGTGCTGGGTCTCTGCCCCAGCCTCCCTGAGAGATCCAGACAAGAGAAGCACTGCTCTACCCAGCACCTCCCTTTGGATGTGGCTTACAGCGGTGCAAGACAGCAACTAGACACCAACAGTGCAGTTTTTCAGATAGTTTGAGACCAAGTGGGGCAGTTTCCTGCAGTTTCCTGGTGCCCAGAAGCCCCCAGCCACCACAGGCTGTTGTTAAACAGGTGTTTTTTTTAGAAAARAGGCATGCACACATCCTGCCCTTCCTCTTCATTTAACAGAATCCTTGAATGGCYTGGGYTGGAAGGGACTGGAACGTTCACCCAGTTCCACGCCCCTGCCATGGGCAGAGACATCTTCCACCAGCCCAGGTTGYTCCAARCCCCATCCAACCYGGCCTTGGACACTCCCAGGGACAATTTGTTCTGTTTTTGTAGGGAATTCAAAGAGGATTTAGTCTTAGCACAAAAGCTCCTGTGGAGCTACCCCTGGTGAGAAGCCCACACCCCTCAGGGGAACACGGGACAGGTGCACTGCTCCCTGTGTGACCACGGCCACTGACACCACCGAAACACGAACCTGGAGGTATTTGAGAAGCTCCAAACATTTCTGACATTTAAGCAGAACTGGCAGCCCGAGTTAGAGCTTTTGTTGCATTGTCAGAGTAAATCAGTATTTGCCATTTGCTCTTCAATAGTTTCAGCTGGGCTGTTTGGCTCTGACAAACCTGCCCAGGCCAACCCCTCGCTGGCTGCCCGGTGACTCAGCCCAGAGCAAACAACAGGAGGTGTTTTCAGCTCCACACACATTAGCTCTGACCCAGGACATTTCAACCCAGGGCAGGATTATTTTTCCCCTGGCATTGTTAGGTTTTTTGGACCCTTGTGTCTATTCACGGTACATTAGGGTCCTTCTATAGCCCCAAAAGCTGCCACGCCCATCCAAAAGTCAACCTGAGCTCAAYCAGCAGCTCCAAGGAGGCACCTCCATGCTCTTGCCTGCTGCTATCTGCTTCCCTCGGTGTCCACCCCACAGCCCTGGCTGCCTGCACGCTTTCAGACTAACAGACCTTCAGCTTGACACAGGACAGCTGTATTTTGTTGTCTATTYAGTGCTGTCTGGATGTCTGATGGATTTTTTCCTCCTGCACTGATCCTAACCAGGTTGTAGCTTCCTTGAAGAATAAGCTGTTCACAATGGGACTCTTAGCTGCTTCCTATTTTAGATTCTGCTTTGTTTCAAATTATTTTGGCAGTATTTTCATATTAGCATTTTATGCTAGCTGTGGAGATGACCGAGGGCTGGAAATGGAGCTGCACTCCAAGAATTCATTTGAGATACAGCATCGGTGTCTCAACAGTTTGGCAATCCTTACTGTAATGTCTGTCAGGCCCAAGATTTGCATTTTAGTGAATAATATTTAAAATACTGTAGACTGAGTTCTCCTAACTCACAGCTGTGTAAAACCATTGACACCAAACACTCCACAAAAAGGCCAACAGTTCTGGCTCTGGGTCAGTGCTGTGCCTGAATCCTCGTGCAGGGGCTCCACYTGCTTTGGACAGGTTCAGYTGTGGCCTCAGMARGGCTGGGTTAACAGCTGGACTCGATGGTTTTAGAAATCTTTTCCCACCCAAGCACTCTGTGATCATATGGCACAAGAGCCTGGCAGTGCAGAGGTTTTGGGATGGAGCTTGGATCAGAGGGATTCACCTGTGCCTCACTCCAGAGAGCCCTCAGGACTGCCCTGAGCCAGAATCACAGCAGAGGTGACATCAAGGAAGCACACACCAATCTGAGAGCAACCAGATAACTCATGAAGTCAAAAACACCAAAAAGAAAAYCTGCACCGAGCCACTGCAGCCCCGTGTTCTTGAAAGGGCTCCAAAGGAGCAGAGGTTTGAGAACAGGAGAGGATTAAGAAAAACAGTGGGAAGACTTTATTTGGTTTTCAAGTTCTCCRTCTGTGCCAAGAACAAACCATTTGAAAAATCAATGCAGAATGAACACAGACCCAGCCCAGACGGATGGATACAGAGCTCAGGGCGGTGTGAGCAATGCACCCTCCCAGGCAGCAGTGAGAGCCCTAAAGCCCATCCCAGCTCACACAGCCGGCTCTAGCACGGGCTCTGTCCCCAGTGCCTGCATGTGCCTCATCCTGCCAGGGTTTGGGTGGCTGGGGTGCTTTCCTCCAGTGAACAGCTCAGGCAGRGCAGTTACACAGCAGTGAGGAGCCAGCCTGTGCCTCACACCCTGCCCACGGCAGCAGGGCCCCACGCCGGTGGGGCTGTTTAGTGGGAGCTTTGTGGGGTGCTCRGAGCCCTCACACCATCAGCAGCTCAGGGGGTGCTCCCTGTGAGGCCGTGCAGCTCCCAAAGACCTCTGCTCGTGCTGTGGGGTGACMGCAACCCCAACACACCTTCAGAGCACTCAAGTGTACAGCACAAGAGCCAAAACCACAGCAAACACCGCGGGCTTAAAGAAACATAAATATTTTTATTRCAATTCCTCTAAAGGTTTTTCTTTTTCAACCAGAGAAGAAACCCGCCTCCTCTGGAAGCTCTGARCTCCCAAAGACATAACTTCATGAAGCACTGGAGCAGCACTGAGGTGAACCCCCAGCCATCAGTTAACTCACACTCCTGGTTACTGCTGTCCTGCCTGCAAAGGCATTTTCCCAACAACAGAAATCCAAATCCAGCCAATGGAGACTTGGGGTGAAGTTGCCCAAGACAGACAAGCCAATCCCACAGAAAGGGGAGAGGACCTTTTCTCTGCATCTTCCCRTTCCAGAGTGCCATCCAGACTATTCCTTTGTGCCAGCCCCGGTGCTCAGCAGGTTCTGGGCACAGCCTGGGGTGCAATCCAGAAGRGCTGATGGTTTCACAAAATCACAGAATAGTTTGGGCTGGAAGGGACCTTAAAGATCATCTTGCTCCACCCCCCTGCCATGGGCAGGGACACCTTCCACTGTCCCAGGTTGCTCCAAGCCCTGTCCAACTTGGTCTTGAACACTCCCAGGGATGGGGCAGCCACAGCTTCTCTGGACAACCTGTGCCAATGCCTCACTACTCTCTACAGAAATAATTTTGTTTTCATATCTAATCTAAATCCACCTTCCTTCAGTTTAAGGCCATCCCCCACATTTTCTGAGGGTGGATCAGAGCAACTCAGAGGAACAGTGGACCTGTCACCTGGGACCAGGGCAAGGCAGGATTTAGCTGGTGGCGAGCTCCATTCAGCAGATCCCACAGTGCAGCCCACCACCTAAGCACTGCTGCATTTTCAGCAGGAAGGAACTGAGCACGAAATATGTGCAGAAGCAGGCCATGTGCTGGGGAGGTCAGTGGCACTTTGTTTTCAGAGCTCCTTTTATGCCCATAGAAGCCCTGGTGTGTTCAGTGCCCCAGGCAGCCAGCACGCACAGCACGGCCACCGCTCCGGGAACACAGCATGCACGCCTGCCAGCTTTACTGCTCTCCCGAAATTAAATAAAGAGAGAACAATGTTCTGCGTTTAACCCGTCCACWAAAACAACCAGCTGCTTCCTCGCTTCTCTCTCTCAAAAAATGGAGATGCTTGAGAAGGTTTATAAACAGAAAATACTAAAAGAAACAAACCACTTGCCCAGCAATGATATTGTRGAGCAGAGCACAATGGGGTGAGCAGCTCCAGGCTCTCAGGATCCCAGAGAGCAGCCCCTCCCCACATAGCATGCCTGTGGAGGGTGCTTCCTGTGGGGATTTGCTCCGCTAGAAAGCCAGAATGGACTTTTTTTCCCTTTTCTTATAAGCATATTATTCTTCCTAACCCCCTCAGGATTTGTCTCACTTACTACATCTTTCTAAGTCCTCCACATAGCACTGTGCTTCAAAAAATACCAGACATGCAATATGGGTGCCTGTCTCAATCCCCTCTATTGCTCCAGTAAGAAAAAGATAATTTTAAGGGAAGAGCTCCCAGTGAACAGCCCTTCTTTCACTGCCCCGGCCTCTTCAGACACCACAGAGGGTTTGGTGACAGCACTGCAAGCATCACCTCCACACCAT